TGTCATCTGTATGGTGCCTAAGGCTCTTGCCAAGGGCAGGCGCAATTTTGCACTCCATGCCACGATGAATTTCGTGGGCTTGTTCTGATGTTACTGTCAGACAAGTGAGAAAAGTCACAACAACAACAATTCTGTACCTTGGTAGATAAAGGTCTATGCCGGATTCGCATGCTTCGGGGAAAAGTTATTTGATTTGCAACAAGTCATGAACCATTATGCGTGTTATGTATATGAAATTCAAAAAAATATATTCTAAGGGTTATTTTTTTATTTAAAAACGTGTGACGTTACTTTTAATTTCCATGTACATATCAGTACTAATATTATAACAGTTCTTTTTGTATTAATACTTGTATATGTATATATATATATCCCAATAGTCCCTTGAGAATCGATCTACATTAGAATATATAAAAGGATGCACTTGGCATTTGTGGTTTTAATGTGGCTGGTGTAAAAACTACTAACTTATTTACTTCCCCCCCCCCCCCCCCCCCCCCCCCCCCCCCCCCCCCCCCCCCCCCCCCCCCCCCCCCCCCCCCCCATTTCAAACACTGTTTTTTTTTTTTTTTTTTTTTTTTATATATACCAAGTTGCATAATTTTGCTGTTGTCTGTCTGACTTAATAAATCGGGCAACGGAAGGATTATTAATTTCAGGATTTAATGTTCAGTGGAACGTTGCGAACTGATATTTTAGTTGTTTCTCTTATTAGGTATACTCTGTAGCCAAAGTCTCAATATGTGCCAAAGTTTACAGGTAATGTAACGCAATTAATAGGAAAAAATTTTAAAAAAAAGGTAAATTCCTAGAAATGGTTAAGTATTTATTATGAAAGCTTACAAATTATCAAAACTGGTATAGTTTAATTGTAAACATATTTTTTGATTGAATCTTATGCTACCAACATCTGTATTCTGATCGTACGGGAAACAAATGTAATTCTGAATATTTTGAAATATCATTAGTTTAACTTTCTCTTGATTTTATAATTATAATTTCTTTCATCAGTTTAAAGCATTATAATGATTCAAAATTAGAACCCTTTCGGATGTATTGCTTACAGTTTCATTAGAGATAGATTTCTCATGTAATTAATTCAGGTCTCACTTCGCGGCAACGCAAAAATACATAAAAACTCAAAATATCTTCATTAAAAATTGCAGAATATAGAAAAGCGTGTACGTGTTATAGCAGTCCTATATAGAAAATTTCAACGTTCTGAGCCTACTCGTTTTCAAGTTGCGAGATACATACATATGTACGTACAGACGTCACGAAAAATATCTAATCTGAATCAATTTTAAATCCATTTTGTAATCCGTTTTGGGAAACAGAGTCCTTTATTCTATCCTTACGTACAGATATCAAGCAAAAACATCGTTGAATTACATTCGATAACGGTGACAATGGATATTTTCATTGAAATATGATACCCGAAAGTTTGCAAGATTACAAAGTTTACAAGATTACAAAAATCTTCATTTTGATAGTAGAAACTAAGAATGATTAAAAGAAACACTTGTTACCAAATATTCAAGATCTCTTCACAGATTTTGGCAGATTATTGTGCAGCCTATTTACGTATTGTATTGAATCTGTATTGTCTGAAATGAAAAACTAATTTTCCTGGATAGGAAATCTAAATATAGCTTTCCAGAAAATTAATAACTCCACTTAACAGGAAATGAGCAATATCCTGTCATCCAGGTCTGCTTATTTATTATCTATGGAAGCTTTAAACCGTGGAAATGAAAAGCAGTTTCATTCTTTTACGTTACTTATTCGTAAGTTCTATGTATAACGTTTTCGCATCATATTCGCATGTGGTCCTCTCCTCCTTATTTTCATTTGTTTCTCCCCAGATGTAATCACGATATCACAACCACATACCTTCAACGGGCTTTCTATCAGAGAAAGCAATGTGATTTAAAATTCAAAGTCTTTTCTGACATTTTCACAAATAAACTTCGACTTCTAAAGTATCTGAATTGAAACGAATGTAATTTTTATATTCCTTAGTATTCTTTATTAATACGCGACTGGTTTCATGTATCTTCTTGTAGAATATTTTATCATTTATTTAGTTTTGAAGTTATATCGTTTTTTATTCTATGTTTGTTTAGCTGAGGATTCGTAATTTTTTATTACTATTTCTTAAAAATCTCAAGTTTATTTATTTATTTTTTGTTCATGTTGAAAATTCAGCTGTGGTTCATTTACTAGGTTTTAAACTTTTGTTCACTGTCTGAATAGAATTGTAATCTGTTTAATAGCTTAGAAATTATGTATCTGAGAAAGTATGGTGCATGCTTAAGAAACGTTTCTTTTCCCCCAGTAAAGTTCAGTTAAAATTATTTTAAAAAGCTAATAAATAGGCTTTATTGGCAGAAATGATTTATTTTTATGACATTAACAAGCGCATATTAGAGTTATTATGTGAAGCAGATTCGTTAAAGGGTAAATTGTAACTATTTATTTACCATATTTCATGAATAATGGAAGTGATGCTGAAATACTGTGTTGCCAGTTAGGAAGCGGAAACTCAACAAAATTGACACTGCCATTTGCTTCTCCAATTTGAGCCGCCCGCTTTTAAAACTCTTCTTTTTTAATGGTTTCTTTTTTCTAAAGAACCGTTTCCTTTAGCTATATAGTGAATGTAATTACGCGTTGTATGTATAGTTTCTCTTTTTTCTTGAGTGTCCTGTCATTCACGGCAGAATCTGTTGCGTGAATGGTTGACTTGAAAGAAAGGCTCGTGATGGGGGTGGTTGCCTGTACGTCAGACTTTCTAGCCATTTTTTAATTCTTGTTTTGCTTTTTTTTCTGCGTTAAGACCCCGCCTTTTATCTGGTTTATGCAAGTCAAAATGCTTGATCAGAGAAGTTATTACTTTATTTTTTTTTTAAAGTTCAAAGACTCTAAATAACGGAGGAGCTCGTTTTCGGTTTCTAGCGCTAACCGGTTAATGTTGTTAAAAGCATATGAGCAATGGAGTAATAGTAAGAATATTTTCATGTATTAGCTGTTCATGCTTGACTTCCCAAACAAACAAGCAGATGGTAATGAAAACTTGACCTCTGTACACGTCCTAAGTGTTTGCACTCAATGCACTTCGAGAACAATAAGAAAAAAGTAACTTTAATTGTATCAAAATACTGTCAGAAGGAAGGTCCTTCATTGAAGTCCAAAATATTATAAAGCCATCGAGGGGACGAGCTCTATAAAGTTCACTCAGAATATTCATAAGATCACGCCTACAAATGCCGCGTTAAATTTGGAAGCTTTTGTTGTTGCCGCTTTTAGACAATAAAATACTTACATATTCGCCGTCAGTAATGACTGGTGGGTACAAATACGCCTGCCATTGGTTATATACCTTGAACATCATTTGCGGTAGATTTTGGTTCCCTCAATTCTGTTTTGATCGAGAACGCGTAGCAAAATGGAATCCCAAGATGTTGACTTTAACCGAACTCTTCGAGAGGATTTTTTAGCTAACAGATTTTATATATGCTAGCATTCTTAAAGATACCGGAATTACGAACTGTACACCTTATCCAGGTTTCGAATCAGGGACCATTAAAATAAAGGCTGCGGCCGCTAGACAAAGTACTAACTAACCAGGTGGTACAGGCTTATTCATTGAGCTAACTATCCATTCCATCGGCCGAATGGATAAGACTGCTGAACCCTGGTAATTCGACCCAGACTCGAACTTCAGTATCATTTTGATTATAATTGGATGTTTCTGCAGTTTCTCCCTTGTGTGTAATATGAATACAAGCCAGTTTGTTAAGAGAGTCTTCCACGAAGACCTCGCTTTTCATAGGCGATAAATAGCCTTTATATGCTTAGACATACCTCGCTTTTCATAGGCGATAAATAGCCTTCATATAATTCATTGAATGTTGTGGAGTCCATATTTACCCCATGCTAAAGTGAATTCTTCCTAGAAAGGCGTCCATGGCGGGCAATCGGATTAAGACGGACAGCATACTAACACATGCATTTTCGTAATCAGGTATCCAATGGTTGCCGAATAGGAAATGAGCAATATCCTGTCATCCAGGTCTGCTTATTTATTATCTATGGAAGCTTTAAACCGTGGAAATGAAAAGCAGTTTCATTCTTTTACGTTACTTATTCGTAAGTTCTATGTATAACGTTTTCGCATCATATTGCGTATTTATTTTTGAGTTAAAGTATTCTTTACGAAATCGTAATGGGCTTTGTTCTTTCTGGTATACTCATTTGAGCGCATTTTGTTTCCTCTTGCTGTTGCTATGTATTTCGAAGAGTTTATAATATCGCGCATTCAATTCGATTTTGTGTAATCGTGTTTTGGAAAGTTTGAAAAGATTATATGTATGAATCTAGTTCGCGATATCCAGTTTTACAAAGGTGAATTCATTAAATACTAAAATTAATATATCCGGAGCATTAGTAAATCATTGTTCAGTTATTGGCGTTTTGATTTGATGGTTTTTCTATTAGTCGTTGCTGTATACAAAAATTATTACAAATATATTCGTAATACTTATAATAACTCGTAATTTTTATTGAGCTCCAATATTTAGAATTTCATGTGGTATAATGTAAATGTGCAATATTTTTTTAAAACTTCACCAGTAAAAGATTTTGTTAATTAGGTTGAATTCGTACTGAAACGTCTGTGTGTAACTTTTGCGATTTAAAACAAAACTTAGTAAATAATAATGTCAAATTTCTTTTACTTATATTTTTTACCTTGAACTAGTAAATTTTTGAATATTTAGACAGCATAGGTAAAATTTTCATGTTTGAAAAAAATAGCCATATTTGGGATTGGGGTCAATGCTTTCCTTATTTTCGAATATTATCCGTTTTAATGAGAAATGGGAAGAAATAGTCTCAGAAAAGTTGGCTATGCTAAGGGAATGTGTATGTCCAGCTGTCTTTGCTTTCTTTGATCTGCGGCACCTGTAAAAACGAACACTTCCGATTCTATTTTCCAGACCTTCGTCCGCCAGCTCCACCTCGTCCATCCCTCATCTACCAGTCAAGTCGTCTCTTGCCTCCTCGAACTCTTCTGCGGGCAGGACCGCCGCAGCCAACAAGAGTATCCCTACCTCCGCGTCTTCCAACTACAACTCCAATTCCATGCTAGATAAGTTCAAGCTCTTTAACCCTAAAGATAAGAGTTCGGACAGAGCTAAAGGTAAATATATGGATCTATGTCTTTTCTTTCCTTCCCTGGAAGCTTTACGAATACGGATTATAAAAATTGGATTCAATAAATATGTAATTAAAAAATCCTTATTTTTAAAAAATTAAATTATATAAACAGTAATTCTGTACTTCGTTTGAATCACCTCTCTTTTTTGTGTTAATGCTGTTTTATCTTATAGTTTTGTTATTTTTCGAATTCACAAAATACAAGACTTTTGGTACTTTTTACCGAGTACCGAAAGCATCTAAGTGGGAGAAAAGCGTTATACCTCCGGAAATTAGAGAGTGCTATTCAAAATCCACGTCAGTTTAAAGTTTTTGTTTAATTTTAATGGAGTCTAATATCAACTCAGTCGGAAATATGTAAATAGTATAGTTCTTAAAAGTCTTTATAATACGCATTGTAATTGTGCTGTACTTTATAATGTTCTAGCTAAATTGATAATCTTTAGCAGCTAGAATAGTTAACTGTTAAAGAATAATTGCTAGTCGTAATGCTTCCATAACAAGTCCAAAGAAGGGATGCACCCTTTTATTGAACTCAAAATATTCACTGACGGCCCTTCTCAGGCTTACAGGAAGTTTCCACTTGAGTTTTAACTTATGATAGGAAATAAGAAACTAATCTAATGCTAACTAACTAAAAACTAGCCGAAGCTGCACAGAAATAACTAACAAGGTTGGCTTTTATTCCAGCTCACCGGCGAGTATCAGGAGGCACGTAACAAGAGCGTAGTAAGATTTGGTTTAAAGCAACGACGTAGCCAGAAGGCAGGACACGCTGTATAGGAACTTCTAAGCTTTTCTACTGAAGTGACGGACACTTCAACTTAAATACGGGTTCTACTTCATTTACATAAAACGCGATCCCGAAAACTCATTCTGGCAGGGAATTGTAGGTGGAAAATAAGAAATTAAAAGAAATCTGATTCAAAAATAAAAATAACCATTAAGAAATTAAAATAAACCCCTGCAACTTCATTTTAAATTATTTATCGAGTTCTTATGATTTCATCCTTCGTGGTAGTAGCTTAGTGAAGCTTTGTTCATTGAAATAATTATAGACAATAAAACAATCAAACAAAAATACCATTATCAAAATTGTCTATTAGGTTTTAAATTAAAAATCGCTTGTTGTGTTCTTGCTTCTAATATTTTTCTTTCAATTTTAAATTTAGATTAAAAGGGTGAAGGATGGAAAAGTGAAAAAAAATCAAATTGCAATTTGCATATTTTGTATTTACTGACATTCGCAGAATTTACTATTAAAATTTCAAAAATAAATTTTTTAAAAATTTAATGCAGTGTAATCCTTGTTGCCAATTGTAAATCAGCGAATGAACGTTTAATTAATATAATTAGTCGAAGAAGATAATTTTAGCGTCTTTATTTAATGGTAATAATTCCAATCCATTTTTCGCAGCGCTTTCAAAATTCTAATATTTTAGCTTTTTCAGGTTTCATTACTTTTCAATTTCAAAAATGGCGCTCTTAGCTCTACCCTTTGATTTCTTTGCAAATATGGTTGCTTCTACTACTTTGCAAACGTTTTTTACTTCTGGAAAGGAACGACCTGTAGCTGATCGTTCTAAAAATTGATAGAGTTTTATGCAAAACGTTTTATGCCAATCTAAGGTTGCTTCTTTGCCCAATTTGAAATAAAACCAAGTTTTAAAAATAGCATTGCATAATAATAAGAAAGTTAATGTGCTCATCATAATTATCGGTACATAAACACTTACGCGTGTATTTAATAAAGAAAAGAAAAGATTTATTCAAAACGCAGCCGTGCATTGATTTTACTAGATTGCATACGCACGAGGCTTGAAGCAAATATTCCCTTCAAACGGCAATGTATTTAATTTAAGTCGCCAGATCCACTTAGAACTCCTTCGAAATGTTTTAGAAAAAATCTTAACGTAACCTTTAAACTATGATTTGAATAATATTAATCAGCTTTAAAATACAATTGTTAAAAATATGAATTGCTGTATTTGGAAATGTGGCTTCCTTTGTAGTCTAAAGTCTTTTCATTTGCAGTTCATTGATCAGTCCCCAGAATTATAAATTAATCTGCATTAGCAGCTTTTGAATCCGGGTGGCAGTTATAACTTTGCTCAAAATATGCATTAGTAATTTTGTATAGTATTAAATACAATATTAATGGGTGTGCCAGTACCCTCCGTAGTAAAATAAATGTTTACATAGTCTGGAGAATTTTTTAAGCAAGTGCTTGCTAATTATTAACTTGCTTAGCTTGTATTTATTACCATTTATAGTATTATGTATAATGCACTTATGTATAATGCACATGCATTATACATGTGCATTATACATAATTAATTATATTAATATGCCAAGTTTTCAATCAGGCTTTATATTTGAAAATAATCATTGAAAACAGTGAAAATGATGTTTGAAATTTGTATATTTTAATTATATAAAGTTGTTCAAAAAGAAAAAACCGATTTCTTAACCTGCTTTCGAAGCTTCTAGCCTAGCAAAAAGTGTTCTACTGATAATGAAGATTTACTTCTTATCTTACGAATGTTCCTATGGGTTGAGAGATCACGACTAGCTTAAATTGTGGACTTCCCTGTCGACAATTTAAGCTAGACGTCCCAGAGCTTTTTCACTTTTAATTCCGAACTCATGGCTATCCAATACTTTTCTTTTTCACAAATACCCACTGTCTTACTGAACGTTGAAACCACCACCGAAAGTTCTCGAACGCGAGACGCAAAACTCCTTCTGCTGAGTTATCACCGTTTGGACTGTAAATGAGAATTGAGGGGAGAAAACGCATACAAAGCGTCTTATTAATGTAAAATTTCTATGTAAATGTCTTGTTAGGCTGGCATCCGATGCGAGCCAACCGAAAGCTCAGCGGGTACAGTAGTGCGGCGGAGCAGTACCTGTAAAAGTCACCGACGAAATTCTGGTGCTCCTGTCCACTTTTCCCTGTCTCCTCTCCCTGTCCTGCTGAAAATGTTTAGAACTTAGAAACATACTTTTCCAAGTGGTGGTTCCAGTGATCAGTGGGGTCGGGAAATAGGACTTCGAAATCGTTTCATTGTATCTGAATAACCATGTAATTAAAATGCAAAGTACTTGATATGAATTACAGCGAGTTAGCCTTGGTAACACTGTTTATAATTTAGAACTTGTTTTACCCTATTCATTAATGAAACCATGATACATTAAAAATTATAATAAGGAAACGGATGTAGCTTTATATATATTTTAATTACATATTATCAGGCGGCAACACAAGCAACAAGCGAACGAGCAGCAGCAGTGGCTTCAGCTCGGCCAGGAGCGAGAAGCGATTCATCCAACAGTATCTGCAGTGAATCTAAAAACGGTGTCTCGACCCAGGATTCGTCAAAAGACCTGTCTTCCCCATCTCCGACCTCATCATCTTCACTATCTGGTTCTAAGCCACCTCAAATCGGAAGTTCTGTTCCCAAAAGTCAGGCAAAGAAATTTGTGGGAATCACTAGCAACAAGCAGAATGTACCTAAATCAAGAACTGGAGATGGTATGGTATCCTTTTTTAGATATTTAAAACCGACTATACAGTTAAAATACACATATTGTTTTCTGTCACATAATGTGTAGAGCTGTACAAGACCACGAGACAGTACGAGAGCAATAAGCAAATAGTAGGACAACATAAACGAGGAATACGATAACGCCCAAACAACGCCTTACAACGATACGAATCGCTTTACGATACGATTTTTTTTCATTTTAATAAAGCACGAAATTTGCGGTTGTATGAAGCAAGTTGCATCATTTAAGTCCAAAAAGCTTAAAAGTAGCATTTTTGTTCTCTATTATTATCGTCTATTATTATTTCGAGAAGTAAAATATTCTGACAACTTTTGCATTTTTTTGTTAGAATTACCATTCGAAAGCGAATGGTTTTATATAGAAATGAAATACGTATTACAATTATTTTCGATTATTATTCGATTAGAGATACGAAGTTGAGTTTAGCAATCTTTGGTAACATCTGGACATTATTGAGACAAATTTCCTCTGCCGTTATGGAAGCAGGCAATCATGTTTTATTAGTTATTACCTTTATAACTCTGGCCAAAGAAATATTTTGCGAGAAACCAAGAATTTCGCACTCCCATTTGAAGATTAACCTCATTTTCAATAGAGATTCAGAGATTTTTTTTGCTTAGTTTATGCTTTGTTTCGTTAGTAACAAGCCTGCATTTTGTTAAATCATTTCATGCAGTGTTTTGAAGATGAATGCATTTATCACTTTCGAGACAGAGTAATGTTAAAAGGTATGTTGTTAGGAAACGTAAGAATAGCTGTCATGTAAAAACTTAAAAAGTTAATATGTAAAAAATTCAAATATAGAATGATTCCAAACAACATAATTCCATACTTACAGATATTTTTTCCGTTAAATATAGAGGGTATTCGTAAGAGGGTGATTAAATAAAGAGGTTAAAATAAATTAAGAGGATTAAAATAAGAAGGTGAGTCTGTAACTATGAAAATGAAAAATAAGGCCTGTATTCCGCTCATAATGTCAGAAAGGAATAACTTCAAAACATGGCAAATAAGCACAAGTCGTCACTTTTGGGAAATTTCTGTCATACTGCAGAAATACTCCCAAAACATCACCTTTCTGCGCCCGCTGTACGCAAATTTTCAGTGAAAAGAAGCAGCACCGAAAGTTGCAGCTGGATGGTTCATCGAGGATTCAGTAGAAAGCGTTGTGCTTTAAAGCGCTTAATGCTTCAGATTATTTGAGGCATGTTTTCACTCCTTCCATATGCAGAATGTCCACTTTTTAATAACATACGGTAATCTTATCTAACTAGAGTTTCTGAAGTGGATGCTCCAGATAACTAACAATCCGCAATTTTCTGCCTTATTCACCGAACTGCTTTATTCACCGTCTTCAACACTGTCAACGAACCTGTTTTCTGTTTCTTAAAATCCCCACATTACTGCCCGTTGTGAACTCCAGCAAAGATTTGCCGTGAACATCTGGAGAGGTATGCTTGGTGACTGACTTGCCTCGTCTTAGACGTTCTAGAGCAAGTGCTTCCTGGTTTATTGCTGGGTTCGCTTATCCCGCTGAGAGCCATGTGGTTTATACATGACGGAGCACTAGCGGACTTAACCATCGTGGTTCGACATTTCCTGAATGCCACATAACCCAAATGGTAGATTGGAGGAGGTGTGCTTCGTGCTTTAAATCCATTTAACTTCTTCTCTTAGGCGCTCATGAAATCAGTGTTGTACGAGATATCTGCGGATTTCACCGCGAGAATCATTGTTTTTTCAGCTGTCTGAATAAACATGACACCAGAGGTCTTCGAAAGGGTACTAGTTTTTCATTCGGCACCTTTGGACGTTATTGCACAGTTAAAACAGAACATCCGAGATATCTGCGGATTCCATGTAGGATTTCACCGCGAGAATCATTGTTTTTTCAGCTGTCTGAATGAACATGACACCAGAGGTCTTCGAAAGGGTACTAGTTTTTCATTCGGCACCTTTGGACGTTATTGCACAGTTAAAACAGAACATCCGAGATATCTGCGGATTCCATGTAGGATTTCACCGCGAGAATCATTGTTTTTTCAGCTGTCTGAATAAACATGACACCAGAGGTCTTCAAAAGGGCACCAGTTTTTCATTCGGCAGCTTTGGACGTTATTGCACAGTTAAAACAGAACTTCTCTGTTGAGTCTTTCTCTGATCTGAATCGACTGTGCAGCTTAGGATTTCATTAATCCTCTACTTCTCCCCGTCCTCCTAACAGATCAAAGTTCAACTCAGACATTTAGCTTTATGCTTATCTGACCTCTGATTGAAATACGGCTCTAGGTTCCATTGTAAATATATTTCGTCTTGGTGGGTACTATTATCCCGTTTGTTTTGTTGAAATGGTTTACAAATACCTTGTATATACATCATATTTAAAAGAAAACATCAGATATTTTCCCTACATGTACAACAGACTTGATGGTTCAGTTGTAAGGTTCTTATCTTTTAAGTTAAAGTTGAGGAATCTTAAGAACTGATAAGCGAATGATCGCTTTAATTCGGTAGACAGAGAACAGATACTCAAGAAGAGTTAAATACCCCTTATTATTCCAAATAAAGTTCACAGAAGACTCCTTCTTGGAGTTTACAATGAAGCCTCTCTCGGGCTTGAATTCATGAAACTAAGAAATAAAACTTAACTAATCTTAACTAAAAACATATAGCCGAAGCTATCAAGATTCTAACAGAGTTGGCCCTTTAATGCTAACTAACGGCGAAGCTTTTAAGGGCCTAAAGTACGGCCGAGCGTAATAATAGCTTAAGAGAGAGAGCAGCCTACAAGGCGAACACGCGCTTCTCAGAATATCTGGCTCTCTAAACGAAGTCAGTAGAACTTCACAGTTAAACACTTCTCCTCATTTGCATTTGACCGCGATTCTGAAAATACATTCTGGCCGGAAGTTGTAAGCTGCAATTTCTGAATTTCAGCTTCCGGCAGGAAGGACAGAAAAGTAACTTTTAACTAAAAATTAACTGTTAGATAAATTTAAATAAACCTTACGAAGTTTCCAGAGCTAGTCTTCTAACGCATCACACGATTTGTTCCTTTGAGAGTACAGATATTTTACTTCTCTCTGGTAAAACTTTCTATAAACATAAATGACAGCAAAACTTACGCTGCTGTTGCTGAAGGGACAATAACAAAATATAAACTGTAACAAGTATGGCAAAAATATAAGTATCGTCTTTTCAGAGGAAATCTCATGAAATACTTATAGGTAAAGCATGAAATCTTTTCATTTCACTTTATATATTACTTACTCCTCTGTATTTGTAAATTTCAGAAAACAAATGCGTTTAAAATGAGTTCAACCATTCTAAAATGCTTCCAATACTTATTTTAGTTCCCGTCTAGTCCACAAACGTTGAGATGAACATACGTCATCAGAACAAAATCTGACATGCAGGAGTAGTAGGTCTTTAAGAAATATGAGCAATTCTATGCACTGATAATTTTTATTTTCTGTACGAGATTCAATTACAGTTATATCTCGTGAAGAAATATTTTCGTTGTCGACGTTGTTCTATAGATGAAATAGGTGTAGGTAACTAAATGATGTGTAAAGTTTCATATTATTGATTATTGTTCTGTTAAGCAGTGTATTTTATTTTGCAATAAAATAACAAACTGGTAGATTTTCAATCTATAATTCACTCTGAATTTCTCCATAAAAATGTTTAAACCATTTATTTTTCAGGTAAAGATCCCATTTCAAGCAAACTTGAGCATTTAAAAGCAACGTCAAAAATAGCAAAAGAAAGAAATAACGAAAAAACTGCGAAATCCTTAGAATTATTACCGTCTGTTAACCAAACTGGAGATCGGAGGAGCGAATCCAGTGAAAACAATCTGAAATTCCATCAATCGAAACCGAACTTTTCTACTACTGGTTCCAACGCAGAACTATTTAGGAAAGAAGAAGAACAGTTGTGTTCTGAAATAGAACCCGATAACCGAGTACGACAATCGAAAGTGATAGCCAATTTGACCGAGAAATCTACCAATGTTTCTCCTAGTGCCTCCAGCATCAGCGTTTTAAGCGACGCTACAGTGATTGACAATTCACAGGTGTTGTCCCTTAATTCTGTTTCTGTCTCATCAAGTATGGAAAATAACTGTAATGGACAAGTTGTATCATCACCAAGCAGTAGTATACCGAAGCCAACTCTTGCTGTGAAAGGAACGACAAAAGTGACCAAGGACGATAAACGACCGCAAAACGCGGAGTCGGAGACGAATCTACCTGCCAATTCTTCGCCAAAAAGTATGAAAATTGCCAACCCTGATCCACAGGCTGGCACTAAATTGTCCAGAGAGGATATTTATGTAGCAGTGCACATAGCTGGTCCAGACACTCAAGTTTTGGATACTGGACAGCAGCAACAGACTGATAAAAGAGGTATAAATTTTTCTAAATCTGAACGTGCGAGGTCAGAAGGTAGAAGTAGTACAGCACCAGTAGGTGTCAGTATCGCTATGGTATCACCTATCATGAGCTCTAATCACAATAAAGATGCTAAGAACTCAGAGAACACTGAGAAAGTGCTGCAAAGCAGCAGTGCCATTAACAAGGGTGATGTAAAACCTCCAAAGTCAAAATCTAGCTCCAATTTTAGAACAGAACCCATATACGAAACCTGTAATAAACTGGCGTCTAGGGATAATAGTGGACTGTCCAGCGAAAATTCTACGATATGGGAAGAAGGGGAAGATGTTCTTCTGAACATCAAACCAATGCAGCCGATAGTGCGCGCTTCTCCTTATGGCTATATGCGAGGATTAGGTCCTCTGTCATCGCCTCGTGCAGTAACAACTAGAATGCAAAATTCTTTGAGGATACACTCGGATTATGGTGAAACTGGTAGACTCAATTCCAGTCGACAGTTCCTGGCGTCTTTGGATTCTGCACGCATGTATGGAGCTGGAATGAAACGAGTTCTATCTGGATGCAACAGTCTTGTTGATACTGATTATGCCACGGATATTGACTCTTACGATATTGCATCTGGATATCTGAGTGATGGAGAGATCCTGAGGCCTGGTGTTGCCTGCCGGTCAGATGACATTGCCAGTGGGTATTTAAGTGAAGGTGGTACTCCAGTTTATTCTAGAAAACCCATCTCTAGGTCTAGAGACAGCGGAAGAGATCCTAGAACTATAAATGTTTTACAAGATGACAGGTAAGATGATTTTTACAATCTGTTTAATTAACTATTTGAATTTATCGATTTGATTCAAACGAACTTAGTGAACTATGCTTTGTGATTTAACGAATAGTATGTAAATAATCTTTTGAATCTGTATGAGAAATAAAGTAGTATTTCCCACGCTTTATTATAGACTGATAATAAAATTAATAATTATTTCAATGATTTTCGAATGTCCAAATTTAAAAAAAATTTATTTGGTTTTATAAATGTGCAACTTTTTCTGTCGCTAATGGATATTTTAACCTGGTAGATTCCGCTTTCTCAAATTAAATAACACTATGAATTAAATGTTATGAATGTGTTCTCATGTTTCTCTGATATGTTAAATTCTCTTATAATACGGTAATTACGTTCTTATGAAATATGGAAAAAATTCTTAATTATAGGCCACAGCTGAAAAATCTTTCAGTCTCTCTCTTCAGATTAAAAAGTCATAAAACTAGTTCAATCAGAATCCTTTGTGATACTTTTTCTAAATCTATCGTAAATATTCCGTACGTGAGTAATAGTGGTATTATTATTAGTGTACAATATTCATTAAAATTAATTAAATGCGTAATTGTGCATAGCATGTGTAATTATTTTTTTAAATAGAGTAGTTTCCATTTAAGGGTTTTCTTGTTTTGTGATGAATTAATCATTTTATAATTAAAAGCAAAATCTTCTGTTGAATGGGAATCTACTTATTTGTTTATTAAACATAGGTCTGTTAAAGATATACTGTATTCCTCAAAATAATTATTGAAAAGAAAAATAGCTTTGCAATAATATTTAAATAATTAAAATCTAAGTAATTAAAAATATATTAAGAAAAGAATATCAGAAATTAGATGATTCGTACTCAAATATTGTATACTACGTATTTCACAAGTTTGGATGTGGGTATTTAAATTCGTCTCTTAACTAATGTCATGTACTCATATTAGGAAAAAATAAAACAGAGTATGCCGTTAATTGTAAGTGTTGTTGTACATTTTGCCGATAGATGGCAGCACTACCTAACGAGAAATTTTTTCTCCCCAGATAATTCGTTTCAGGAAGGAGGACTAAATTGCAAAGCGAAAACTTCCGCTCTCTGTCCGTATTGCGTGTTTATTGAAATAATTTATATTTTTATCTGAATAATTTTTTCCAGGTATATTTAATTGTCGGCAGAGGTTTTGAACTGTCTGTGCATGTGTTGGTATTCCTTAAAGTTCGCAATGGCGGATTTTGGCAGTGGGGAGGCTAACGTTACCTGAATTTTTGTGGCTGTCAGTCTTAAAATATATGTTTATTTGTTTATAAGTAATAAATGATTTATGGATGTCCTTGAAACACGAAGCCTCTCGCGATTGTGACTTGCTGAGCGACTTCATAAATCCGTCTTTGAATGTATGCGTAGTTAATTAGTTTAAAACATTACGTTAGGTAACTAAAAATCAGACGACAGATAAAACATTTTTTTAAAAAAAAGGAATCAAGAAATTTAAATTTTAGCTTAAATACCCAGCGCATCTTTGTTCATTATTAAATGAAATGAATAAAGTTACATAAAATTCAGGAAAATCATTTATTGGGGTACATGCATAACATATAAGATGCTTAGTTTGCAAAATAAAGTGCTTTGTGTAAGATTAAAAAAAAAAAAAAAACCACTTTTTTTCATCCTGAGGTGACCAAAAAAGAATTATACATTTTCAAACGGAAAAGGAGGCTGCGAATGAGTAACACTAGTAATTTATTTCCGATTCTCATAGCAGCGAATAGCCACAAAACCCTAAGCAGTAATGCTTAGAGTTTTGTGATTAATGTGAATAGGAAACATATCTGTTTAGAAAATCCTCAAATTGAGGTATACTTCATCTTAGGCAGATCAAACAGCTCTCGTGTGTTATATGATAGTCAACCAACCAATCAAACCAAAACTCGATGCATTTTAAGATAACGTTCTTCTGTTTTCAGTAACAAATGTGAAGTCGGCGGCTCATGATGTTTCAGTCTGGTAAATTTTGTAATATTTGTGTCACACAAAGCGTTTATCACGGTAACTATTACGGATCATGAAGGTTCTGAATTTATTTACTCATAGTTTTCAATAAACTATTTTTTCTGCTTTATAATTGCTCAAAATCTATCTATTAAAATGTTAAACGCAGGTATTTTATCCTTGATTCGAAACTGAGTAAATTGATATGACTGTGTATAATTTTCATAATGTAGCTTTTATGTAATCAAAAGTCAGAATCTCTAGCAAGCTTTCTTTTCTATCTTTCAAAAGCTTCTTTGTTAATAATAACAATAATAATAATAATAATAATAATAATAATAAAAACATGTTCTCTGAGCTGAGAGAGTTGCGTTAAATTCTTTCGAAAATATACATCTCCTGTGTACTGATGACTATCTGTGTTAAATTTTGCGTATTTATATATATCAAATACATCATCATTTATTATTTCGGTAGTATATTTACATGGTTACAGTTAGTAGGGACGGGATTACTCACATCTATTGTATCCATTGTTTGAGGTAATAATTCTTTAAAAATTGAGATTTGAAAAATATTATTGTTATTTCTTTATTTTATGTCTCATAAATTCCAGCGGCATAAGTCTTGAAAAGGAGAGCGGGAAAAAAATTAAGGGATTTAAAAGAAAGACTTTTGATATCCATCATATTCCATAGATTTTATCCTCCGATCCTTCCCTTAATTATGTCTCCATCTCCCTATCACGTTTCAAGAACTTTTTATTTATAGCCGGCATTTGGAAGATATGCATCTCGGGGATTTAAATTCTATTTTCTAAGTCGTAGGGAATCCGTCTAAATTATCATCCAGATCTGCGCTATTGAAATGACGACAGATTTATGAACAGTCTTCTCCTGCAGGGAAAAATTTTATCCCTTTTCTTCCCTTTTCCTGACTTAGCGTTAATTAAATGGTTTCAAAATCGTATTTTTCCTTCTTCGTTTGAAGCATCTAATTTTATACGTGAGTGTACTTTTCGAAGAATATACAAGGAAGGGTTTTGAAAATATTCCAGTTCAAGGTAAAATGGTATGAGTCAACACAGCCTGCCAACGTGCTGAATGTGGAAACTGAAAAATATGCACCAAATTCATTACGGAGAGTTGCTGTGAAATATAGACTTATTTAAAGCCATCAGATTTGTTTATTTTCGAATAGTTCAGTTAGAAAATAAATTTAAATAACGAAGTTAAATTTTGTAAATCAGGCCTAAACAAATAAATTTTAAATAACGAAGTTAAATTTTGCAAAAAATAATTTCGTGAGAGTATTACAGTCAATTGTGTATTAACCGGTGTAATGACGGGGACAATGGCCACGATAAACACACACACAGAAAACGGAGAGAAAATTCATGTTATAATAAATTAGTAACAGCGTATTACAAGCAGTTTAATCTAGAGAATAAATTTGTAGGGTTTATTTATGTTAATTAACCAGTTATTTTATGTTCTGAGTGTGTACTGTCACTTCTCTCTTTCCTGCCAGAATGCAAATTGTTTAGACAGAGCATGTGTTGCCTGCTGAAGGCCACGTCAATAGTTTGTTATTCAAAGACAAGCGTTCCTGTCTTCTGCATTGCTTTATTCTTGTCTATAGTACTTTCACGTCGGTGTAAGCTTAAGAGCCTACCTTCGCGTTTAAATTACCTCTGCGTAGCCTTTGGCTAATAGATACTTAGATCTAGTTTTAAATTTAAAATTCTACTTTTAGTCCTCGTCATAACTGCTGGCTGATTTGTAAACATCAGATGTGCCTTCTGTTAAACTTACGTAGTTTTAGATAAAATGGTCTTTTTCAACTTTCTTACGTTTCTTTTTCATCTAAACATAGCGATAAATTGCTTGTTGCATACTTCCGTATATAAAAACAGTTCCCAAGTAATATGACATCACCTTTTTGCATATTTCGCAGTCAGTTTTGTTTTACGCTAGTGAATCTAGAGCAGGTGCCAACCAGAAGGGTATAAATATGCATACATCTAACATCGCGTTCGCATTATTCTAAAACTTAATATTCAAATCAAATAATAAAGAAATTTTGCTTACCTGTCAGACACAGCATTGATTCTCACATTCTGTCATTTTATCCAAATTTTATTGACGACAGAAATAAATACGTTTACAATAAAGAAACACATATAAATTTAGTTCGACTTTCGCAATTTGATGTACTTTCGTTTTACATCTCTCACAGTCAGCAAGGTTCTAAACTACTCAAAAGAATTCAGGCGAACACAGCGCCATCTGGTGCAATACAGTTTCTACAACAGGAAAGTGGTTTGTGATTTTGATTGCCGTATCGAAGGGCCGGGGTTCGAATCCTGGAGAAGGCATGGATGTAAACTGTCTGTCCCCTCATAGGAAGAACGGTGGCTCACCTATTAGGTGCTTTCACAATAAAGTGACTACAACTTTCGGCCTTAGTGGCCAATGCCTCTAACGGCTAGTGCCCACCACTGAAAATTTAAATATAAATTAAATAGGTATAAAATTTTTCCTCACCCTGGTTTGGACAATTACTCTTTGTTAGCATGTTATGCCGACGATACGGCGATTGCAATTAAATCCATCCAAGCTAATCACGCAATAGACAAAATGCAAAATTACCTCTATGCCGTAGAAGACTGGTGCGTACAAATTGGCGCGTAAAAATCAATGCTAGCAAGTCATAACTTTTAATTCTTAGCAAAACTAAGAAAAACATTCTTTTTAAAGATCTCTACGTTTTTCAGGAAGCTGTTCCTCTGGTTACAAAGGCCAAATACTTAGAAATTATTTTGAACCAAAGGCTCAAACAGTCTAACCACATTAATATTGTCAAGAGCAAAGCCATGGGCATAATATGCAGATTTCTCCCGGTCATTGGAAAATATTCAAATCTTAGCTTGCGTACCAAAAAACATATATATATATACCACTTGCATTCGACCGGTACTTTGTTATGCTGCTCCTGCTTG